ATATAAGTTTGAGTTTTATCTTGTTGATTTCTCTTAGCAGCAGTGTATGACAGCTGAGCTTGTCACAGTTCTCATTCCTGTCAGCTGTTTCAGCAGCAAGTTCTGTTCAGCAATCCTAGCGCTATAAAAACCTTTTCTGTCAATTTAGGAACCTTTAAGACTCTTTTTGGTGTCTGTAATTGTGTTGTTCCAGTATATAAAATAATTTCATAGTGTATTAGCCTTAGAAGGGATCTTGGAGGACTTCTGATGTACTAGTTTTTCAAGTTTTTTAAAAAGCAGCTGAATTTCTTTTTTAAATTAAGGATATACTATGTAAATTCCCATATATCTAAAAAGAGGCTAAATAATAAAGTGCTTTGTTTAAGGAGGGAGTGAGTTCTGTGGAGTTGAAACCATCATGCTCTTTGGTGCCCTGGTGTGGTCCTTGAGGCACCTCAGTGAAACCCTCAGCTCATCTTATTCATCTTCCTCTTTCTGCAAATAAGGGACCTGAATCCTGCCGTAGTTAATTGCCTTGCTGGGCTGTAGCCTAGATAAGAGAGTGGCAGACTTTCAATTCAGTAGTCTCCCAGTCAAGGACTTTTTCTTTTATATTGTGCTGCTTTTAACGGAATAACTGTATTTTTAAAAGTTGCGATGACCTACATATGTATTTTGAAATCAGTATTACTTTCCTTGGCAGAGAAACCAATTAAAGTGCTTCTTGGTTTTCATTCAAATCAAGGAAAAATTATAAGATTTTAAAGTGTTATGATTCATGTTAGTTTATGTCAAAAACCACTACAATATTGTAAATTAGCCTCCAACTAATAAAAATAAATGAAAAAAAAAGTGTTATTAAATATTTGTATGTTCTAAGTTTATCTGATGTATAGTAGCAAATTTATAATTAAAAATTAATATTATCTGTACATTTATAGGTGATATTTATTTACATTAGCACATTTTATTTTATATTTTTAAAGTTTAAAAATCACAGCTGTTGCTCCTAGACCTAGTGATAGTGGTGTTTATCTTGATAGAGAATGTTGTCATGTCAGATTGGCAGGGTACTAGTTCCGGAGATGAGTCAGTTTCCAGTGTGATTTAAAATGAGAAAAATAGTTTGAATTCTATATTATTACTTTTTTTTTTTTTTAAGTAAAACAGGTTGGAGAGTTGCTTAAACACCGTTCCTTCTACCTTCTTCTAGGGATATATGTAAAACCATCTTTCAAAAAATCTTATTTCCTTTATTAAAAAGTAGGAAATTAAATAAAAATCAGATAATTATGGTAAAACAAATACTGGTTATAGGTTTAACTTTTAAATGTTACTGGAAAAAAGTCTGATTTCTAGTATATTGGAATATCACATCTGGCACTGTCAGTGGGATAAAATGGATAGAAGATAAACTGAGAATACAGTTTAATCATATATAATAACAGGTCTCTGGGGTTTCTATAAAAATGAAAATCACTTGAAAGTATTATAGTAGTAAGCCTTAAAAAGATATTTATTTTATTTAATGAATATTTGTTATTTGCCTGTAAAAGAACATGTTTGTCCTTAGGAAGAAAAAGAACAGCAGTTTGCCCTAGCAGATTTTCATGTTGACATAGGTTTTGAAGTTATAGTATTACTTTTTGGTCCTTATGTTGCCATCATCTAGGTTTTAGCTTAGCTCTGGGCTTCTAATCTTTGCCCTTGCTTCTTATATACTTTGTCCTTCCACTCTGGTTTGTAAAGGCCTTGGGAGCAAGAGACCATACTGGGTGTTTGCATCTTGGTTTGCAGTTGATCTGAGCACAGTGGTTTGTTGCCCAGTTGCTAAGTGGTGTCCTGCTCTTGGTGACATTAAGCGACCGTAAGTGACACAGCCTAGTGACTGAATGATGAACCACATGGCGCACCAGGCTCCTCTGTCCTCCACTCTCTCCTGGAGTTTGCTCATATTCATGTCCTTTCAGTTGCTGATGCTGTCTAACCCATCTTACCCACTGCCACCCCCTTTTCCTTTTGCCTTCAATCTTTCCCAGCTTCAGGGGCTTTTCCAGTGAGTCGACTCTTCGTATCAAGTGGCCAAAGTATTGGAGCTTCAGCTTCAGCAACAGTCCTTCCAATGAATATTCAGGGTTGATTTCCTTTAGGATTGACTGGTTCTGTCTCCTTGCAGTCCAAGGGACTCTCAAGAGTCTTTTCCAGCACCACAGTTTGAAAGCATCATTTCGGCACTTGGCCTTCTTAATGGTCCAAGTCTCATATGCCTACGCGATTGCTGGAAAAGCCATAGCTTTGACTATACCAACCTCTGTCGGCAAAGTGATATCTCTGCTTTTTAATATGCTGTCTAGGTTTGTCATAGCTTTCCTTTCAGACAGCAAACGTCTTTTAATTTCATGGCTGCAGTCACCGTGTGCAGTGCTTTTAGAGCCCAAGAAAATAAAATGCTACCATGTTTCCCCCATCTGTTTGCCATGAAGTGATGTGACTGGATGGCTTGATCTTAGATTTTTGCTTGTTGAGTTTCAAGCCAGCTTTCTCACACTCTTCTTTCACCCTCATCAGGAGGCTCTTTAGTTGCTCTTTGCTTTCTGACATTAGAGTGGTATCATCTGCATATTTAAGATGGTTGATACTTCTCCTGGCAAGTCTTGATTCCAGCTTGAGATTCATCTAGCTTGTGATACATCTTGATATTCTTGGTTCACATACTGCTGAAGCTTATCTTGAAGGATTTTGAGCATACCTTGCTATCTTGTGCAATGAGTGCAATTGTATGGTAGTTTGAATGTTCTTTGGCATTGCCCTTCCTTGGGATTGGAATGAAAACTGATCTTTTCCAGTCCTGTGGCCGCAGCTGATTTTTCCAAATTTGGTGACTGATTTGAACACAGCACTGTAACAGCAGAACCCTGTGGACAGTATGAAAAAGCCACAGTGGAGCCTGGTGCAAAGTAACAGCAGTGAGCAATACTACTAGTGATGTCTATATTTAAAATTTTGATGTTTGGGTAGTCTTTTTTTGGGAGGGGTTTAATTTTTAAAAGATAACTCTTTTTTATTTTTAAGATTTTGACTATGAGTTTTTTGACACCCTCTTAAAAAGTTATTTTCCCTATGGTAGGGGAGAATAATATAAAAATATTTAGGAAAAAGGAAGATCAGTGTTATTGATCTGAGAAGTGTCTTTCTCTTATCTTGTGCCATTGAATATAGAGCATTGAGAAGTTGAGAACTGGAATTCAGTGGAGAAGTTTAACAGGAAAGTTTTAAAAAAATTAAATTGGGTAAGTCATGTATTCGGAGAAGGCAATGGCACCCCACTCCAGTACTCTTGCTTGGAGAATCCCATGGACGGAGGAGCCTAGTGGGCTGCTATCTATGGGGTCGCACAGAGTCGGACACGACTGAAGCGACTTAGCAGCAGCAGCAGCAGCAGCCGCAAGTCATGTATTGGTTAGCTCCGTCAATTATTCAGAGTGTTGCCTACACCCAGAATAGTGTACCTGCTTGTGTTCACATTTAACCAATTGTACTTTAATGGAGTCCAAGAATAATCTCTCAAAAAAAAATCACTTAATAAACTGTATGCAGTATGTATGTTGTGAGTCTTGGCTTAAGACTGATGTCTATCTTCTTTCTTCTGCAGATGTGTATTTGTGATTGTTGTGGTGGTATTTTAATATTGGCGATAGTATTTTCATAAGGAACTAAGCTTTCTTTGGTGAAAGGTTATATTAGGCAGAATTTATTTTTGTGAAACTTCTAAATATTTTGTTGTTGAAAATATTCAGCAATACTGTTGATAGTCTTCTAAATGTATGGCCCAGACAAATCTGTTTTGGAATTTTTCACAGGTTGAATGGCTAGAGTGAGCTGAAGATAATAGCCTTTTTTCCTCCAGTGAACTACCATTAAATTTGTATTACTAAATTTCAGTGGCCAAGAAAAAATGAATTATTCTAAGGATTTAATTCTTTCCAAATATTTTGTTATGCCTTATCTTTTCATTTGCATGTGTGTACACCTATAAGAGAAAAATATCAGAATCATAGAGATTTGAATGGATGATAGTAGAGCCAAACATGCTCAGTTTTTGTTTTCATATAGAAGTAATTGGATCTTAGTGCTATATATTGAAGAAATTGACTATGCATAGCAAATTTTGTATTTTAAATAGAAAGTTGCACATAGTATATAAGCTTTAAGTGGATATATTGATAATATTCTATAAGGCTGTTTAAATTTTTATTTAAAAATTAGTTTGTTTAAGGATGTTGACATTTTTAGGATTACTTAAGCGAATTTATAGGTGGTGCAGTGGTAAAGAATCTGCCTGCCAAAGCAGGAGGTGCAGGAGACAAGGGTTCAGTCCCTGGAACAGAAGGATCCCCTGGAGTAGGAAATGGCAACCCACTCCAGCATTCTTGCCTGGAAAATCCCATGAAAGAGGAGCCTAATGGGCCACAATCTATGGGGTCACAAAGAGTCAGACAGGACTGAGCGGCTGAGCACACACAGAGTGCCCCCATTTTCCATTTTCACCCAAGAGATGCGTAATGTGCGCTCAGCATGACGGAGTGTAGGAAAAGGTGACATCTGAGACTGATAAAGCAGTGTCCTGGGTTCCTTTTCTAGGACCTTAGTTTTTATTTGGCAGGTGATGAAAGTTTTGATGTAGAACTAGAGGTGATGATGGAATAATAGAAAAATTGGTCAGAGAGAATGAGAGTTGATTTGATGAAGAAGTAGAGTTCTTTGGAGCTAAAAATAAATTTCAGTGACTAATTTGTCACTAATTTAAAGTCTTACAGCTGTTTATTTTGAGAGTTTGTATAAGGGCTATATCTGTTTGAATATGCTTTTTCTCCAAAGAGTACGGACTTCAGCATAAGGTTAAAGTTAATATTTTAAATAATGAACATTCTTCAAACAGCACAGAAGCAATAGTAAAATACTGAAATATTTTCTGTACTTTTCTCATTTCTTCTGTGTAATTTTTTTTTCTTTAACAGGAAATCAAACCTCAGAGCCATTATAACCATGGATATGGTGAACCCCTGGGACGGAAAACTCACATTGATGATTATAGCACATGGGACATAGTTAAGGCTACACAGTAAGTTTCTTGTTGGAGTTGTCTTCTTCTTTGACATCTGTTTTTAAGTCATCAACTGGGTGAGGTCCAGTTGATAAGCCTTTCAAGTAGACTCTTCCAGGGGACTGCCATATAGGTGAGATAATGACTCATTGGGAATGAGACTTTGAAAGAACTCCTTTCCTGTTCTGCTCACTCTGATACCAGTACCAGGAATATAACATCTTTTTCAAGGCTGCTGGGGAGCAGAGGATGGGACGGTGGTATTTTCAAAAGATTTTTGTTTGTTTATTAGTCTAGCCTTGCCGGGTCTTTGTTGCTGTGTGTAGGCTTTCTCTGGTTTCGCGACAGTGGGGTCCTCTCTAGCTGTGACATTGGGGTCCTCTCTAGCTGTGACAGTGGGAGGTCCTCTCTAGCTGTGACATTGGGGTCCTCTCTAGCTGTGACAGTGGGGGTGCTCTCTAGCTGTGACAGTGGGGTCCTCTCTAGCTGTGACATTGGGGGTCCTCTCTAGCTGTGACAGTGGGGTCCTCTCTAGCTGTGACATTGGGGTCCTCTTTAGCTGTGACATTGGGGGTCCTCTCTAGCTGTGACAGTGGGGTCCTCTCTAGCTGTGACATTGGGGTCCTCTCTAGCTGTGACATTGGGGTCCTCTCTAGCTGTGACAGTGGGGGTGCTCTCTAGCTGTGACATTGGGGTCCTCTTTAGCTGTGACATTGGGGGTCCTCTCTAGCTGTGACAGTGGGGTCCTCTCTAGCTGTGACATTGGGGTCCTCTTTAGCTGTGACATTGGGGATCCTCTCTAGCTGTGACAGTGGGGTCCTCTCTAGCTGTGACATTGGGGTCCTCTCTAGCTGTGACAGTGGGGAGTCCTCTAACTGTGACAGTGGGGGGTCCTCTCTAGCTGTGACAGTGGGGTCCTCTCTAGCTGTGACAGTGGGGAGTCCTCTCTAGCTGTGACTGTGGGGTCCTCTCTAGCTGTGACAGTGGGGTCCTCTCTAGCTGTAACAGTGGGGTCCTCTCTAGCTGTGACAGTGGGGGTGCTCTCTATCTGTGACAGTGGGGGTCCTCTATCTGTGACATTGGGGTCCTCTATCTGTGACAGTGGGGGTCATCTGTAGCTGTGACAGTGGGGTCCTCTCTGGCTGTGACAGTGGGGTCCTCTCTAGCTGTGACAGTGGGGTCCTCTCTATCTGTGACAGTGGGGTCCTCTATCTGTGACATTGGGGTCCTCTATCTATGACAGTGGGGGTCCTCTCTAGCTGTGACAGTGGCGTCCTCTCTAGCTTGGTGCTCAGGCTTCTCATCACAGTGGCCCCTCTTGTTGTGGAGCAGGGGCACTATAGCCTGCAGGCTTCAGTAGTTGTGGGCCATGGGCTTCGTTGCCCCGCAGCATGTGGAGTCTTCCCAGGCCAGGGTTGAACCCGTGTCCCCTGCATTGGCAGGCCGTTTCTTGCCATTGGACCACCAGGGAAGTCTGGGAGTGTTGTATTTTAAAATACCAGAGTCCTCTGCTCTTCCTGAAAGTCTTCTGTTTTTCTTGACCAAAGATACCTTTGGTAGCTGGAAGTCTTGTTAACTTTTTTCCCCCTAGATTCTGAAAAATTTGATGTTCTTTAGTTGCTGAGTCGTTTCTGACTCTTTTGTGACCCCATAGACTGTAGCCCATCAGGCTCCTCTATCCACAGTATTTCTCAGGCAAAAATACTGAAGTGGATTGCCAGCTCCTTCTCCAGGGGATCTTCCCGACCCAGGGATTAAACCCGCATCCTCTGCATTGCAGGTGGATTCTTTACCAGTGAGAACTTTTTGGAAAATCTGAAAACGTTGATACTGCCAGTTTTTCACTACTTTTGTGGAGAGGCAAACTTTCTGAAGCTCTTAGTCCGCTGTCACCCTACTTTACACTGTGTCCACGAAGTCAGAACTCACAGCACTCCCCGCCAGCTCCATTTACCAAGCAAATTATACTGCTCTACATTAATTTTTCCTTTTCAAACCTGGCTTCTGTTAATATATTCTTTCTCTCCTTTGTCATTAATCTTGCACTCTAATGCATGATTTCCATCAGCAAATATACTCCAGCATCTTTCATCTTAAGGAAAAAAAACACCTTTCTTTACTCCTCAAATACCCTCTTAACTATATGTGCGGTCTATGATTTCTACCTTTTAAAACATTTATTTAAATTTTAAAATGTTTCAATCCTCCAGATAAATATAGAGAAGAATATAACTGTCAGATTAAGCAGATGCTAACATTTTGCTGTAATTGCTGCAGGTTGCTCAGCATCCTTTTTCCTTATCTCCCCAAGGAAACTTCTCTTGAAATTATTATGAATCATTCTCATGAGCATTCCTGTGTGTGTGTGTGTGTGTGTGTGTGTGTGTGTGTGTGCAGTTGCTAAGTCATAGTTCACTTAACTGGGCACATGTAAACAGTTTTCTGAAAAAGAACAGAGAACTGAAGGTGCTACTTTCATCTCTTATGAATTGTGGAACTCCTGCTCTTCGCTTCGGTTGATTGACCTTGTGTGTTTGTGTGTGCGCGCGTGTGTGTATGTGTGTGTGTGCGCGCACATGTGTGCACATGTGAACATACACAGTACCGAGCCAGTGTAGGTGAGCAATAAAGTAGTGAAGACTGTTGAACATTAGTGAAGATTAATCTCTTTCCCTGTAAACTGTGATACGAATGTGGTTTTAATATTTGCTACAAATGTCCCGTTGTTATGTAACCTCTTCCCCAGCCTCACCCTGTGGTATGCCTTCCCCATTTTGGAGACCATTCTGATTAATATGGTCAAAGCTTATTTAAATTTGTTATTGTTTCTCATATTTCCAAGGATCCAGTATTTTGTTTTGGATAAAGTTGATGGTTTTTGAGACTCCATGATGGATTCTTGGTGATTTGTTGTATTATTCTTTGCATTTTTGCTTACACATAAAAATTTCCATGTTATAGCATTTTGAGAAATATATATGCAGCCACACAATGACCTAAACAGAAAGGGAGGAAAAGGTTAAGCTCTTTGTATGCGTCTTTCTTCTTTATTAAATTAACATCTTTTCTTGAGCTCTTCCAGTAAACTTTCTCTGTGTCTCATTGACTTAAACTCACAAGGCCCTTCCCCATGCATGCTACTTCCCACCTTCACACTTCCTTTTTTATTTGCCTTTAGGAATACCAAAGCTAAATTTCTAAATAAAGCATCTTAAAGTTGTAAGACATCCTTTTTTTTTTTATTTTGTTGTAAATCAATGACAAACTCTTTGTTATTGCTTCTTTATGACAATATTTTAACATAATTGTATGTATTTTTAATAAGCTGCCTTCAGTGTTTTGTGGAATAAGTGGTGATATTAATAAAAACAAACAACTGATAGATATTTTTATCTATAGTGTCCTGTTCTCTTCTACTTTATGAGGTATTGATTGTTAGAGAAGTTTAAAATTATAAAATGGGTTAGTAAAAGCTGTTGAAATATTGATATTTCTAAAGTAACACTTTATATTGAGAAAGCCTTTTTAGTTTCCAGGTATCAAAATGGAGCATCAGTTTCTTCTAGAAATGTTATTTTCAGCTTTAAACTTCTTGTCAAATAATGATAACCGCCTCATTTTCCTTCTTCTTAAGATACGGAATATATGAACGCTGCCGAGAGTTGGTGGAAGCAGGTTATGACGTGAGGCAACCAGACAAAGAAAATGTTACACTCCTGCATTGGGCTGCCATCAACAACAGAACAGATCTAGTCAAGTGAGTAGTCTCTTATTTTTAAGGAATTAGTTGTTACTACAAAATTATTGAGAATAATTTTAAAACATATAATTTTTAAAATTCATAGCTTTTAAAATGTAGTTTCTGTGTACTTTTTTTCCTAGAAAAAATTGTTTTTAATGTATATTGAATGTTTATTATGTGATAGATACTTTGCTGAGTGCTTTTCCATGTATATTTTAGATCTTAATTCTTGAAATAACCTATGTGAAAAATAACAGTTTTTGCTACTGTCCTGATGATTTGGAAACTGATGCATAAAGAGGTTAAATATACTACTAGTGACATTTGGCTGTTAAAGGTTGGTGTCTGGACTTTTAACTCAGGCAGTCTAACCTGTAGCTCACAGTCTAAATATGAATTCTATGGAGAAAAGGAAAGAGGAAAAGGAAAGAGGTGTCACACAGATAGTAGGTAGTACCCTAACTTCATATCAGCATAAATGAAGAATACCTTATATACTCAGTATAAATTATTTTTATTACTTATTTTTCTGCTTATTCAGTAATAATAAGTTAGATAAGCAGGAGTCAGAATGATAACGAAGTCTTAGTAAATCTGGCTTAATAGTCTCTGGCAATTTGGGCCTAAGATCTTTAGATAGAGACATGAATCTGAAATGAACTACTTGCAGATGTGCCTTTGAAGTACAGCATGCAGAGTCTAGAGATAAATAGGATGTTAATATCAAGTAAAAGAATTAGCCCTTAGAGTACTAAAAAAAGATTAAGCAAGTAATAATTAAAGCACTGAACTCCGTGAATCCCTTTCTTCTGGAGAGCGTGTTTCCATCTTATTTGCTCTTTTCCCCCTTCTTACACCTCTAACTTTTCCTCTGCCTGCACAGGGTCTCTTGATGTCTAAATTCTGTTATTGTTGGTCAGAAAATTTTTTTGTTTCATCTTCATTTGTGAAGGATATTTTCAGATGGCATAGAAATCTAGGTTGGCCATTTTGTTTTTATTTTTGTTGTTTACTTATTGAGAGTATCATTCCACTGTTTTCTGGCTTCTGTTACTACTGATAAGTCAGTCTAAGTAATACACTTTTAAAGGCTTTGCTTTCTTTTTCCTTTCATTTTTTTCTGACTGCTTTTAAGTTTTTTTTCTTTCTGGTTTTCTGCAGTTTCATGATGACGTTTCTAAGTGTGGATTTCTTTTATTTACTCTGAGATTACAAGAAATTCTTGATTCTGTGGATTGATGTTTTCATCAGTTCTGGAAAATCTCAGCCATTGTTTCTTCAAATAGGGCTTCCCAGGTGGCACTAGTGGTAAAGAACCCACTTGCAAGTGCAAGAGACACAAGAGACAAGGGTTCGATCCCTGGGTTGGGGAGATCCCCTGGAGGAGGAAATGTCAACCCACTCCAGTATTCTTGCTTGGAGAATTCCATGGATGGAGGAGCCTGGTGGGCTACAGTCCATAGGGTCGCAAGGAGTTGGACTTGACTGATGTGACTTAGCACGCATGCCTTTCTTCAGACATTGCTTCTGCCCCGTTCTCTTTTGTCTCTTCCTGGAATGCCAGCTAAATGTATGTCTGACCTTTTCATTGTATACCGTGTCTCTTAACCTCTCTTCTGTGTGCGCCATCCTTTCTTCCTCTGCTTCATTCTGGAAACTTCTTCTGACTTACCTTCCAGTTCTTTTGTGCTCTATGTGTTGTCTGCTGTTAAATCTGTTCATTGAGTTCCTAATTTTGTTTTTTAGTTCTAGAATTTTTATTTTCTTTTAGCTTGTATTATTTGATTCTTTTGTTGCTGAAATTTTCCATTTTGTGTTACATACTTAAATATAGTTATTATATAATCTGTCTGAGAAGACAGCATTGGGAGCCCATGTGGGTCTGTATCTGTTGTATTATTCTTTTGTGTGCCTGTTTTATCTTTGAATGTATACTAGATATTATGTTTGAAAACTTAGTTGTTGAATAATTTGAGGCCCAAGATGAGAAGATACCATTTGTTTTCATTAAGCCCAACTTTTGGGCTTTAGATTTTCTGGGTCACTCAGGTGGCTGAAGACTGTTAGAGCAGTCATTCTGGTCCTTAATTACCGCTGCAGTTAAACTCTCGGGGCCCAGCCCTTCTTTCCCTCTGTCTGCTGAGGCTCTCTCTGGGCCAGCTCTCCTGCCTCAGCAGAGTGTCTCTGGGCAGATGAAGCCCAGGCAGTTTTCTGACTGTTCCCAGTTTTAACCTTCTCCTGAATCTTAATCTCCTAATGAAGGTGAATGCTCTTAATCTTCTTAGGTTTTATTTTTAGGATATATTTCTTATATTTTGTTGAGTTTTTTAAAGTTGTCTTTAATTGAGTTGGTTCGAATTATCTAGCCTTCTGTAGGCTTTGTATTTTTTTTTAATTACTGTTATTTTTAATCACAATAGTACATAAGCAATTAAAAAAATTAAATAGTACTTAAAATCTTACAGTAAAAACAGCAGACCCTCCCTACCCTTTGGGTTCTATACCCCAGAGGTAACTATTTTCAGTACTTCAGATGTTTCTTTCATTATTGTATTTTATATTTTTATTTTGTTACTTTTATGTAGAAAGTTATCTTCTATACACAAATGATAGCAAATGCTTTTCAGCTTTTTGCATTTAATTTTTGTTTTCTGAAGATTTTTCATATCAGTACTAGAACTACATCATTCTTTTTAAAAAGCTGCATAATGTTCAATTGTATGGACTTTATTTAATGGTTTACCTATTGGTGAACATTTAGATTAATTTTAGTGTTTTTACTATTTCATACAGTGTTGTAATTAATACCTTCTTCACATAGCCTTTTGCTTATGTTCATGTATATCTGTAGAATTCTTATGAGAAGGAAACTGAGGAGGATGAATTTTAGTAAATATTGCCAACGTTTGTGCTGTTTCTTGGCTTATTAGTTATTTTATTCTGACTTTCCTTTTGGGGATAGCCAAATGTCCTAGAACACCTCACTGCTAATACTTTTTCCTCTATCTGCGGTTACAGTTTTAGTTAAATTACTGTGTAAAGTTTAAACTGTTGTGCATATGTAAATTCTCACTGATAAGCCCAGAAGTGTTCAGTGATCCATTTTTTTTCTTGTAGAATTTTTATTTTTCTCTGAAGTAATAGTTGCTTTTTTCCCCTCATTTGTTTAACTTTCTGTATATCATAACTGATTGTTCCATACTCTTAAATAGAACTTAAAAACCATCTGTGTAATAGTATCAGATAATTTATTGGTTCCTTTTTCGGTGGAGTGGAGAGGATGAAATCATTTCTGAACTTCTCTGTCTTTCTGTTCTAGCAAAGACTGTTTGCCCTTGAGAGCTGCATACAGCCATTGTCTTCAGACATACCTTTGCATGCCTTCTGCGAAATCCCTTTGCTGCGTTGTTGGTTTCCTGCATCTCAGATGCTTCTATCTGTTGGTTTACTCTCTGCTCTTAGTAGATAACTGAACTTTCTAATAACTTTCTGAGAGAAAGAGAGTGCTTGGGAAGAAAATGTTTTGAAGTTACTATCTCTTATGCCCTTAAACCTTATTGGTTGGTTGGCTGAGCATAGACTTCTAGATTGAACTTAATTTTCTCAGAATTTTAAAGCATTACTTGATTATGTTTTTGCTTCAAGTGTTGCAGTTGAGATATGTTTGATCTCATTCTGTTGATCAAAAAGTCACATTTGTCTTGTGTAAATAAGAAGCTCTAAAATGATAAAATGCAGAAAGAAAGTCTTGATGTTGCCTGCATTATGGATTGTTCGCCACTTATGGACAAGTGAGGTTACAAAATAAAGTCAGTAATTATAGAGTGGGTTAATAATTATAGTGTCTGTGTATATTATATCTTCAGGGGGGTAAACTTAATTTCTTACAATACATAGTCTAGCAAGTTACTTTCCTAAAACAAACATAATTGTGAGTAAATATCATTTTCAATAGCAAGTAGTATTCATAGCCTCAGGATTATTACTTTTGAGTCTAGAGTTACACCCTACTTTAAAGCTAAAGCATATTACTGTTTCATGGATGCTAGCAGAAGATACATGATTCTGGTAGAGACAAAGGCCTTTATTATTCATAGTGTAGGAAATAGCATGAGCATCTTATTTTCATAGCTCCCTCTTGCTCCATAGGTTCTGTGGGAGCAGCTTGAAATGGTCCAGATGGATGTAGCACACACAGTGGATATTCATTGCCTTTTTTTTTTTTGAGCAGTATTTAAGATTTATTTTGCTGTATAACAAGAAAGTATATTTATTTCTTCTTTACTCAGAAAATAGAAATATGAAACATTGACACTAATTCAAAATTGCATTTCTTTCAGATATTCCAGTTTGATCATTGATCATACATTGACTTTGTAGATCATATATAGAGGTAATGTTTTCAGTTTGGAAAGTGTAGGTGTGACTACAGGGTCTGTAACAAAACAGATGAAATCCAACTAAATATGACAAAAAGACAAAGATAAGCCAGCTGTTAGAAAGCTTGAGTCAGGATATTAGAAAAATATTCTAATAACTTAATTTTTTTAGATATAAATTGTATTTACTTAAATTTATTTGTTTTTAATTGAAGGATAATTACAATACTGTGTTGGTTTCTGCCATGTATCAACATGAGTCAGCCATAGGTATACATACGTCCCCTGCCTCTTGAGCCTGCATCCCACCTCACGCCCCCTCCCGCCCCTCTAGGTTGTCACTGAGCTCCCTGAGTCACATAGCAGATCCCCACTGGCCATCTGTTTTGCATATGGCAGTGTACATGTCTCCATGCTGCTCTTTGTCCCACCCTTCTCCCCCCCGCCCGCCTCCACAAGTCTGTCTCTGTGTGTGTCCATTGCTGCCCTGCAGATAGGTTCAGCAGTACAATATTTCTAGATCTGATACATGTGCATTAATATATGATGTTTGTTTTTTTCTTTCTGACTGGCTTCACTATGTATAGTAGACTATCAGTACATCCACCTCATTAGCACTGACTCAAATGTGTTCCT